ATTTATTTCTGGGAAAGGGAGGTGCAGCTGGTGTTTTTTCATAGTAATTAGATAAAATTTTTTTTTTTACACCATAGCCACCATGTACGCTAGGAAAACGGAATCCTTCGTGTTGCATAACTCGCAAATGTTACGTGTAGGACGTGTAGATGTCTTGGAATTGGTAAGTTTTATTTTTTTATTATTAATTTTGATTTTTTTTTATTAATTTTTTTATTAATTTTTTTATTAATTTTTTTATCTTTTAATTTGTAAAAATCGATGGTTTCACACTTCCCGGATCAAATTAGTAAGTTTTTTCACTTAAAACTTTTTTTAAAATTTTTTTTTTATTATTATTTAATTTTTTTATTATCTTTTTTTGTAGTTTCGGCTTCCTTATCCCGGATCAGTAAGTTTCAAAACGGTTCGTTTTGAAACTTTTTTTTTAAGTTTAATTTTTCCGAATTTTTATTTCAGATCGGACTTGGACTTTATTTTTTTTCTTTAGGTATAGTTAGACGACTTTTAACATTCGTTCTTTTCAAGATGTGATCACGTGATTTGAACTTTATCTTTTTTTTATTTATAATATTAGATAAATGCTAATATACGTGTACTGTAGCGTTTAATAAATTAATAAATTTGAAATTGAACTAATATTAAACTAAATTAATAAAAAAAATATTGAAGAATAAATTGGTCATCTTTAGACCTTAAAATTTTGTCGAATAATATTTATCCGAACTTGTGCCTTAATTTGACTACTATTAGACCTATAGTCAAATTTAGGTTGAACGGTAGTGTAATGATAGTTGAATATTCTTTCCGTATAAGACGATTGGCATCCAAACTGCGCCAAAAAATTTGACCTTAATTTGACTTGTCTTTTTTCAACTAGTGTAAAAAAATCGTTTTAGCAATATTAAACTGATATCAATATGATAATTATTTGTTGTTTTAGCGATATCAACATATTATTGATTTAACATTTTTAAAATAATATCGTTATGATATATTTTTAATACTGAATTGATATTATATCAATATCGTGTTTTTTCACATTTTTTTTAAAAAATATCATTGTCATTTTGACGATATTAAAGTGATATCGATTTGATATTTATTTAAATAAATATCTCTACGATATCTTTTTGATATATCAAATCAATATTGGAACGATATTATCCTAATATTATAATGATATCATCTGCAAATCGATATCACTACGATATAGAATTAACATCATTATTATATCAATTTGGCATTGTTTAAAATTTTGAGGTTTCTGTAAAGTAGTAAGCGAGTTTCTAACTGAGATTGATGGACGCCTACATTTAAAACAAGCTGATATAGAAAAGCATCCCTATGTACCTGAAGAAGCATGATGTTTTTTAAAACCTGGCATAAATCAAGAGGGTTATTGGATAGCAGAACATCTTCTTGAACAAATTGAATGTAAAGTAATCCCTATTTTTGAAGCTTTATATTCAGATTGCGTAGCTGTGTTTGCTTTTGATAATAGTTCCAATCATGCTGCTTTTAGCAAAGATGCCTTAGTTGCAAGCCGAATGAACCTAAACCTAAGCGGTAAACAACCAGTTATGCGGAATACTTACTTTGGGCCAAATAATCAGTTACAAACAATGGTGTTTCCAATAACATATCATGATGAAAAACTTCGTGGTAAACCTAAGGGAATTAATAAACAAGTATTAATAGAGCGTGAAAAATGGCCACCTGGAGGATTAATATTAGTCTGCAAAGAATGCAAAGAAAAGATTCAAGACATTTCAAGAACTACCTGTTGTGCACGTCGAGTAATATCTTTGAAACCAGATTTTATTGCTCAAAAAGGCGCTATTGAGGAATTAATTGAAAATGCAGGCCATAAATGCATTTTTCCCCCTAAATTTCACTGCGAATTAAACTTTATTGAGAGGTATTGGGTGCTGCTAAAAGATATTCGCGTGAAAATTGTGATTATTCGCGGGAAGGGTTACAAAAAATTGTTCCTGAAAGTCTTAATTCGGTAAACTTAACAACTATTAGAAAGTTCTCAAGAAAATGTTGGTGTTATATGGACCTTTATAGAAAAGGTATTGATGGAAAATTGGTGGAGTATGCTATAAAAAAATATAAATCTCACAGAAGAATTTCAGAGTGTGTTTTGGAAGAGTTAAATAAATTTACAAATGATTAAATTTGTTTTTAATGATTTTTTTTTTATGTAACAATGTAACGAAATTCATTTGTATAAGCTATCCTTATCCAATAAAAATTGTTGTACATGATAAATTATGTGACAATCGTCATTTTGAAATTTCAGACTGTTGATGACTTTAGATGTTACGCATCATACCCTTTCCATTTTTTGCTTTATTTTATAATTTTTTATATTACACGGATATCCATAAAAAATTTTTTTTTACATACAGTCGCCACTGGATATAACAAACCTGCCGTTCCAAGTGTTTTGGTTCAGTATATGGTGAATTCGATATATGATATTCATATTATATACCGAACTGTTCGGTATATGAATTTTATCCAATTAAATTATAGCAGCATATACTGTAATATTTAAAGTTCGGATGATTACATGACTTACTATAACAGATAACACTATGTTTTATTTAAAATTTATGTGTTCATCGATTTTTTAAGTATTTACCAGCTATTCAAATGAAAATTTTATCTGATACTAGCAGAAATAATTTTTCCGGTAGTCCATTCTTTTATATTACTAATTAAAGTCACGTGATAATTCGGTATACTAAATATGTAACTAATATACTTGGGCTGGCTAAAATAAGTTCGGATGCGGTATATAGTAATTTATTATGTGATTTCGTTATATCCAGTGCAATTAATTATAAAAAAATCAGTTCTGTGAAACTTGGTTCAATATAACAAGTTTTCGGTACAAACAGGTTTGTTATAGCCAGTGGCAACTGTATTTATTTTTTTAATTTTACGTGTTTGTGTAATAAATTTATACATGTCTATATTTGTGTAATGAAATTTTATGTGTCTGTATAATGAACTTATGCTAAAAATAATATAATAAATTTTACATGTTTGTGTAATAAAATTTTATTTACGTGTCCGTATAATAATAAACTTGTAACTAAAAATAATATAATAAATTTTACGTGTTTGTGTAATAAAATTTTATGTGTCTGTATAATAAACTTGTACTAAAAATAGTATAATAAATTTTACGTGTTTGTGTAATAAAATTTTACGTGTCTGTGTAATAAACTTGTACTAAAAATAGTATAATAAATTTACGTGTTTGTGTAATAAACTTGTACTAAAAATAGTATAATAAATTTNTGTTTGTGTAATAAACTTGTACTAAAAATAGTATAATAAATTTACGTGTCTGTGTAATAAACTTGTACTAAAAATAGTATAATAAATTTTATGTGTCTGTGTAATAAATATAAATTTTATGTGTCTGTGTAATAAACATAAATTTTATGTGTCTGTGTAATGAAATTTTACGTGTCTGTGTAATAAACTTATACTAAAAATAGTATAATAAATTTTACGGTCTGTGTAATAAAATTTTACGTATCTGTGTAATAAACTTTGTGCTAAAAATAGTATATACAGTCAACTCTCTTTATAGTCACACATTTGGGACAGTTCATATTTGGTGATTATAAAGAGATGTGACTATATAAAAAATTTCTTATATT